AGAGTTTTTGGCCAAAAACTCACGAAGAACCAGTGCTGTGTGCGAAGGCGCATTATCGTGGTGCAAAATTCAAGAGTTATTGGCCCATAATTCCGGTCTCTTTTTGCGAATAGCTTCACGCAAACGTCGCATAACGCTTAAATAATATTCCTTGTTGACAGTTTGGCCAGTTGGAAGGAATTCGTAGTGCACGACACCACAATAATCAAAGAAAACAGTCAACATGACCTTGATTTTTAAGCGACTTTGACGTGGTTGCTTCGGTCTTGGCTCGCCTTTTTCACGGTATTCACTCGATTGGTTGGTTGTTTCAGGGTCGTATGCGTAGACCCAAGTCTCATCGCCAGTAATAATTTGTTTGTAGACGTCTTGATAGTCAGAAAGCATTGCTTCACACACTTTAACGCGATGCTTTTTTTCAAAGAAATTGAGAAATTTCGGCACCAAATGTGATTTGAGTCTTCTGAGGCCCAAATGATCCTTCAAAATCGCTTGCACCAACCCAAATAATATTCCAACCGTGTCAACAAGGTCTCGAATGGTTAACCGACAATTTGCAAGCACTAATTCATTGATTTTGTTGATGTGGCGATCATCAATCGAAGTCGATGGTCGTCCGGAGCATTCCAAGTCATCAACACGTTCTCGGCCTTCTTTGAAGTCTTTGTACCACTTGTAAACAATTTTTTGAGACAGTCTCTTCACCGAAGGCCTTTTGCAACATTCAATACGTTTCAGCAGCAGAAATATCATTCCGCAAACAAAATTTAATAGCACTTCTTTGCTCAACAAAATTAGACATCGTGAAAATCGCCGAATGCACTTTTGGTACTTCAGAAACAAGCGTAAACAAAAAAAAATGAGTTTGAAATGTAATTAGGCGCAAATGTTAATGACATTCCTACCAACTTAAAAATAAAAAAGATTGGACGATTCGAATAAGGCGGGAAGTTTAAATTAAAAATTCACCTTACTTTTTGATCACAGTAGTACATATAACTTGTATTTCTAAAAAAACTATTTGGATATCAAAATAAAACTATAAAGAAATATTCAAAAATTGAAAGCAACTTGGTAAGATCATTCAAATTCCATAACAACAATCTTAAATGTTTCAAAATCTAAGTTGGGCATTTCCAACAAGAAAGTTATTTACTTTTTCTTTAGACAAGAAAAATTGCTACATTAGATTTTCATAAATAAAGGAAAAAAATAAAGGAAAAAAATTATCACTAGAGAAAAAAAACAACAGATATTTGTACTGTAGATGGAGGTTAACTATTCACAAAAATCAGAGGTATTCAGAAGTTGCTGCAGAGATAATAAACTTGTATACATCTTAGAACCTAAAAATCATACTACATAAAACTAGATATAAAGCTAATAGCGTTGATAACTATATTTAAAATTAAATTATTACATATAATAGAAATAATGTACTTCATTATTTATGTATAAATTTTTTGCTTAAATATTTTCAGATAACTGAAATTGGTACTGTAGTTGACTGCAGTTGATGTTTTTTTTTTTTTTAATTATTATTTGTGGCTTAATCAGAATGATAGTATGACATATTCAGAGAACAACATCTTATGTAAAATATGTTACTTGACTCTAAATTATTAACAAGGCAATTACTTCTTAACAACAACAAATTTGAAGAAGTCAATAAACTAATGAATAAATAAGGTGAAAAAAAGTTAAAGTTATATAAGAAAAAACTTATTGTGAAATAACATGTATGTTTTTTATAAGAGTTATCCAATATGCCTACACCCCATATGTATTACCTTTCTATTTGATAATTACTATGTTCATGCTTCACATATACTATTTCTTGTTAACTCATGGCTTTTGCCATTTCTTGTTATAAGCAATGTGCCAAAAAATTCAAAATTTTGTTTTTGAATTGGATTTTTTGATTTTTCTTAAGTTTTTTTACATTTTTAAGTACTTAACTAGAAGAAATAAACTTCAAAATCTAGGAAGCCAATAAGTATTTTTTAATAAATTTTCAGAATTGAGCTTCTAGTATAAATAGTAACAACATACAAAAAAAAATTGAAGGTCATATTGAACATTACTTGAATCTTACAGAAAGTCCCTCTATACATCTTAAGTTATTATATTTTCAATGCATTTTTGTTATATATATATGAAGACATACAGTAGCGTCCAAAAGTTTGCGGACAGGCAAAAAAATAAGGAATTTTAATTATATTTCAGCACATACTTAACTAAAGCCAAAATATTATATACCAATTAAAAGGTTTTCAAATTTACAATTAAGTTTTGAACAAATAATTATAATCTAAATAATATTTTTAAATCGGTATACAAATCAATGGTCTTAGATAAGTTCAAAAATTTGCGGACAAAGTATTATTTTTTAAAATAGTTAAAATATTTCAACAATATTTGATCAAAAATTTTGCAAAAGCAAAATCACATTAGTATTTTGTAGGATATCCTTTACAATCAAGAATAGCTTGGCATCTATGAGGCTTAGAGTCAACTAAATTAATGCAAACGTCAATGGGAATTAAGTCCCATAATTCTTTGATTTTATTAAATAAATCAGCAAAATTTGTAGGCTTAATTCCTTTCATTTGACGGTAAACATGTTCCCATAGATGTTCAATGGGATTTAAGTCAGGTGATTGGGATGGCCACTTCAAAACATTAACTTTACTCTCTTTAAAAAACTCTAAAACCGATTTAGCTGTATGTTTGGGATCGTTATCCTGTTGGTAGATTCATTCTCGAGGCATTTTATCCTTTGCATATGGTAACATAATAGTCTTACATATATCTTTGTACTTTTCTTGATTCATATTCTTGGTAATTCTATGGAGAGGACCAACTCCATTTCGGCTAAAACATCCCCAAACCATTACATTACCTCCTCCATGTTTTACGGTAGGCAGTTGGTATTTAGGATTGTACCTAGTACCTACTACCATAGAAACGTCTCATTTGTATGTTTAAATCGACAGCTGTCAAACGGGGATTTTCTTTGCTTAGTATTACAAGCTTTTTATCCTGATAACACGTTGTTTTGCGTGGCCTTCCTGATTGATTTTAATTCTTTGTAGATCTAGTAAGCTCAAACCTCTTCATAATTTGTCCAACAGCAGACTTACCAACTCCATAAAGCTGTGCTGTTTTACGAAACGAGTTTCCATTCTGAACTGATCTCAAGATCAATTTTTTTACTGGAGATGAAATACATTTCTTAGATCTCATGATCTCAATCACTTATATATAAAGTATTGAAATTATTTCCACAAAGTATTTGTTTATAAAATCAACAAATTAGCTATTTTGTGGTGAAAATGTTAAAAGCGTTAGTTTGTCCGCAAACTTTTGAACTTATCAAAAATCGCCATTTTGCAAACCAATTTTAAAATGATAATTAAATATTCATTATTTGCTCAAAACATAATTGTTAACTTGGAAACCTTTTAATTGGTATATAATATGTTGGCTTTAGTGAAATATGTGCTGAAATTTAAGTAAAATTCCTTATTTTTTTGCCTGTCCGCAAACTTTTGGACGCTACTGTAAGTATATATACATATATATATATATATATATATATATATATATATATATATATATATATATATATATATATATATATATATATATATATACATATATATATATATATATATATATATATATATATATATATATATATATAATATATATATATATATATATATATATAATATATATATATATATATATATATATATTATAAATATATATATATAATATAAATAATATTACACTATATATTAATATACACAATATATAGTGTAATATTATTTATATATTTATATTATATTATATATATATATATATATACATATACATATATATATATAAATATATATCTATATATATATATATATATATATATATATATATATATATATATTTATATAAAATATAAATATACAAATAATATTACACTATATATTTATATAAATAAATAATATGATCACTAAATTTAAATAAACAAATATTCCAATAAATCCAATATAAATAAATATTCCACTAAATCCAAGTTTATAATTCACTAATAACCTAATTTATATGGAATGAAAAAAGTCACAGATAAAAATTTAGTAAAATAAAAGAACTTTACACAAACAACAGACTCAACTTTAATAATTCATAAACATAATCCAGAAAAAGTTGAAGAACTAATTATAATAATACTATATATGATAATTAAGGATTTGCAGCATTCTATATTTAAAAAACCCTCTATTATTTTTAACCTTTTTAAATGACCCAGTCAAGTTCTAGAAAAGTCTCAAAAAATAAAAATCTCAGAAAATAAAGAACTTAATAAAGATCTTGATTAATACTAATGAAAACAATTGGTTGGTTAATATTTTATATCTAAGAAAGATTTAAACCATGTTATTTGAAACAAGTAAACAAATTCTAAAAAAAATCTTCTTAAATCGTTCAATTAAAGATCCCTTTTGAATGTCATATATATGTACATATACTTAAGAGTTATTATGGAAAAAAACTTGAATTAATAATTAATAATAAAAAAATAATTAATTAAAAATTGAATTAATAATAAAAAAATAATTTCATCATAATTGAATAAAAAAAGGTTGTGTAAAAATAATGCTTTAAAAAAATTTGCTTATTTGGTCATTAGAAATTCTAAATTTAAAATTTCAACATCACACTATAAATATACTACCACTAATTACATGAACAGTGCCAGTTCATCGACATTTAAAATAAACCCATATCGCAAACCAACCCATTATTACCACATGTAAAGCAAATCAAAGACATCCAAACAGTATCAACAATTGAATTTATTTTGTTAACGTTTCTATACTAACCCTATTGAAATCTTTTAAATACTTGAATATGTCACAACAATTTACTACCATCTAATGCTAACACTTAAAAAATAAACAATTAAACAATTAAAGTATTAATGAAAAGTTAAATCATACTTGAATTGATTTTGTTTTTTTAATAAAAATGTTACATGCTTATACATATATTCTTCTTTCCAGTTAGTATCATCAAACAGCATCCATGAAATCTTTTCAGATGAAAAATAAAGCCAATAATTAAAATATAGATATAATTAAAAATCTTGTTGTAAACTTAATACAAAGTTAATATAAAACACACAAAAAATAAATAAAAATTGTGTCAAGATTGGAGTTACCTTTGTAGAACTTTTTTTTCTGTTAATGAGCGTTTTTATGAACAAATACACAAACTTTAGGGTGAGTAAAATCAAACAAGCATACTTTGGGAATTGCATTGATAAATTGATCAAGCTTAAATTCTAAATTCAATTTAATGAGTCAAAAAACAAAATTAAAAAATATTTTTATATGTATATGTATATATATATATATATATATATATATATATATATATATATATATATATATATATATATATATATATATGTATGTATATATATATATATATATTATATATATATATATATATATATATATATATATATATATATATACTATATATATATATATATATATATATATATATATAATATATATATATATATATATATATATATATATAGATAGATAGATATGTAAATAGATAGAAATAATTATAAATATAGATATAGATATATGTAGATAGATGTTTAGAAGCAGACAATCATCTAAATCCCTTTTGCAAATTTTTGGTTAGAATTTATTCATTAAAGCTATACTGAAGTATTTTATTCTACATTCTATGAATAAATCCTCCGTCATAACAACCATTAAAGATTAACCTATAGGACCTGAATTAGGTATTACTTGGATTTTGTTGGATTTCATATAAGAAATAAAAAATATTTAACAAAAGTCCAATTAACTAGTGAATGCCAAAACTTTGTTCAAGTATATGTTTTACATGTAGGGTGATTATTAATTCCAAAAATTTACTGGGAAATCACAGTGTGAGACTAAATTAAAACAAGACTTTGAAAAGAAGGATTTATGTAAAAATATAGAAAATTCTCATCCTACATTTTCAAAATGATTAATAAAAGACAATATATTTTAGGAAACCTTTTCATTAACTCCCCAACAGCTGTTAGCCAAATACATAACTTTTGACACTTCAAAAACTATCCTAAAATAAAAATGTTTATATATGTAAATACATATATATATATATATATATATATATATATATATATTATATATATATATATATATATATATATATATATATATATATATATATATATATTAAAAATATAGTATACATATATATATGTGTATATATGTATATATATATATATATATATATATATATATATATATATATATATATATATATATATATATATATATATACATATATATATATATATTTATATATAAATATTTATATATACATATATATACATATATATATGTATATATATATATATGTATATATATATACATATATATATGTATATATATATATATATATATATATATATATATATATATACTATATATATATTAAAAAAAATTAAAAAATATTTTTATATGTTCAAAATTAAAAAATATTTTTTATATGTATATGTATATATATATATCTATATATATATATATATATATATATATATATATATATATATATATATATATATATATATATATATACTATATATATATATATATATATATATATATATATAAATATAATAGATAGAATATTCTATATAATATATAAATAGAATAGATAGAATAGATATATATATATATATATATATATATATATATATATATATATATATATATATATATTATTATATGTATATATATATATATATATATATATATATATATATATATATATATATATATATAAATAGAATAGATAGAATATTCTATATAATATATAAATAGAATAGATAGAATATATATATATATATATATATATATATATATATATATATATATATATATATATATATATATATATATATATATATATATATATATATATATATATATATATATATAATAGAGTGGTAGCCCTCTTATTTATGAATTATGGATAAAAGTCGCAAAAGACTTTTAGCAAACTCCAATAAATAATATTTTTATTATCATTTCATTGTCTTAAACTTTCTCTAATACAGTACTTCTTGTATATAAGATAAATATACAAAATTTGGTTGCGTTTCAATGTTCTAGTTCAAAAAGATTTTCAGACATCCAAGTCAGAAGCTATGGATCGTTTTATTTCTAACATTTGATTTAAAATCAGTCATTTCTGAGCAAAGCTAATACGAATTTATATTTGAAAATGAGTAATTTGCAAGTAGACAATTTTAACACTTATAAGAGTATTATACGAAGTAATAAATTATAAAAAGAATCATTAAAAATTTAAATAAATTATATAAAGAATCATTAAAAACTAATAATATAAACTTGACAAAGAAAGTTCCAGATTTAGAAAATTCTAATTTAAATTTAAGTTCAAGCGAAGCAATGACAGGTGATAAGGTGATAAAGTAATAAAGATCAAATACAAATTATTATTACTCTCAAAACGAAACGAAAAATAAAGATAACAAAAAAAATGACTGGGTTGTTTTAGGTTTAAAAGAATCAGCGTTAAGTGATAAAGTATGATGATTTTGATTTTGTTGTTATTTTATTGACAAGTTTTATATATGTGAAATAATTGTTGAACTCTTTTAAATTTAAAAATAAAGCAATTGAAGAAGATAAATATATTATCGAGTCAACCATGTCTAAGGGGATTGTCAAAAGCAAAAATGTTGCCAAGTAAAATTTAAAAAAATGGATGTAAAGCCACTTATATTATTATTTTAAATCAGAACAAAATTTTTATTAAAAAATGCCAAAGTATTAAAGAAATACAAAACTTACAAAAATTTATAAACCCTCATTTGACTGAATCTGAACGATAGAAATCCAAGCTATTAAGAGAAGAGTGTAAAAAGCTAAATAATGATAACATTGACAAGGAAAACTATTACTTTGAAATAATGACAAGTTTTTAAAAACTAAAAAAATAGGAATTAATGCTACAAACTAGTAGTTTAACTTTGAAACAAACAATAAAATAAATCAGTATAGTGGAAAAATTCACAGCCTAAATATGTTGCTGAGCAATAAGACACTGCCAGATATTGTATCAGTAAATTTTCAAGAGCATAAAAATCCTGATTCAAGTACCGTGTACCTTGTATAAACAAAGGAACACGGTACGCAAATACAACATCATTAATACATTAACCCATTAAAGCCCAATTTATCAATTTTCAAACTTTTTATGTAAAACTCATGAAAAGGGACTATATGACATTAAAATTTATAAAAAAAAACCATTAAAAAGATTTTGTAAAACTTAGTTTGGTAAATAATGGCTGTCCTCAATAAGACACCAATTATTGAGGATATCAATTTAAATTTTACCAAAAATTGAGGATATCAATTTTATTTTTCATATAGTCTTTATTTAAACATTTTATTTCAATTATTTATTATGGTATTTAGAAAAACAGGGTACACACAATGTTGCATTACACTTATTGCAAAATGTTTTCATGTTTCTCCAAAATGTAATCTTTTTCATCAAATCTTATGCCACCTGTAACATTACTTTTTGATGTAGATAGTAAACTCATTGCCCTTCCTTTCAATGTAGGTTTTCCCTTGGCCCAATTTGAGGAAAGATTATACTATACTTCTTCTGAAATATTATACTATATTTCTTCTGAAATCCTTTACTGAGATTTTTTTACCTACCTTACACAAGGTAGCTGTTAACAATACACATTTCAGCTATTCTTGTGAACAAACACCAGTAGCATTTCATTCCTCTAAATGTAACACCATGCTTTTCTAAAACCCAACCATAGTGGTCAACTTTCAAACATTTCTAACATAGAACAGGTTTCCAGCTCTTGACAAGCGTTATGAAACTTTTCATCAGCAATGTTTCCCTTGAGCAAAGCGTATAATGCTTTGCTCAAGGGAAATTGGTGATGTTACCAGTCTGCATTTTGAAGGCAGCACATTTTGTGTATAGGTTGATAATGATGATGTTGCCAATGATTCACTATCATCTTCATCAGATGGTACATCTAATTCTGCAGTCCTAGCAATGTCACAGACTGTAGGTGTACCTAATTCATCGTCATCAATGTTTTCCTCATGTGTAAGTTCATCTACTTGAGGAAGTAGAGCCAAGATATCTCCTTCTATTTTTTTAGAAAAGACATGCTCAGCACCATGTTCAAATGTTAAAAATCTTTTTTGACTCATAGTTTTCAATACTGCTATGAAATAAATTAAAAGTTAAATTAAAACTGAACTATCACAAAAAAAGCTACAAATGCCCAGTGTCCTCGATTGAGGACAGACTAATGTATTATAGCTTTTTTAACAAAATTTGCTAAAAAAATTTTTGATATTTTTTGAACATGTAATTTACAAATAAGGACTAAATTATAAAAGTTTTGACATACCTTAATAAAAAAATAACAGTACAATGATTTATATTTATGTTTATATGTAAAATTAATAAAAGTTTGGAATAGCGTATGGAAACTAATAATTATATCTAAAAAATTATACATCGAAAACAAAAACAAGCCATTTATGTGACCTTGTATCTATTATTAGAATCAATAAAAAAAAAAAAAAAAATTCTGCAAAAAATTTACAACTAGCCCTCAATTGAGGACGCTGGATGCTAATGGGTTAATATTACAACTTAAAATTTATAAACAAGATGTTATTTGTTTTACAGAAATTTGGTAAATAAACAGAATCAGATGTAAACATATATAAGTAAAACATTTTCAAAAACAATAGTAAGACTCATGGAGGAGGTGTTTTTATTTATGTAAAACAATGAATTATTCTGTTTTGAACTAATGATTCACAATTAAACAATAATTTGATTGAACAAATATAGATTTTTGTTTTGGAAATCAAAATATTCT